GATTTTGCGAATTTAGCGGATCCTCGATGAAACAGAATATATTAAGTTTCTCTTTCTGCCTAGAGGCACACAACTGTGAAAGTTGGTAAAATGTCCGTTTCATGTGGGCTTTTTGTAGATGGATCATCTCAGCGAGTTGTCAGCATTCCCTTGCAGTTGGACATCGAGAGAATGGAACGCTAAGTCAGACTCAACTTTCAGAGTAAAGTCGATGTTCGGATGGGCTTTACTGAAGGTTTGCAATCGATTTTTTATATCAGAAATCTCGCCACAAATAATGAAAGTATCATCAATGTGTCTTTCGTAGAGACGGAGTTCATCAATAGTTGATGATACGGAATTGTTCTGTAGGCTAGCCAAAAAGTAGTCAGCCAAGAGGGGCCTTAGAGGAGAACCCCTTGCTACTTCACCTACTGGCCTGTATATTAGGTCGTTGAAGGTGCATCGTAGCAGCGTCTTTAATTTTCCTTGTGCATTACTAGATTTGTTCTCTTTGTATGTATCCAAACTTCCTACCTGTCTTGTTATTATTACCACGTCCTTATTGCGTCACTGTATGAATAGCCAAGTTTTTCAGTTAATGCGATCTCATTATGTTTCTTCTATCCGATCTTCTTGTTTATTAGACTTTGTTACTTTATTGATTTAACCTTTGACCGGAAATAATTCTGGGATTTATCCCTGTCCCATTGTTGAATCACATTTCGACTGGTAAATACTAAATGCAAGTCAGCTGCATATAAAAAGACAGTTTAATACATTTAGATAAACGACTTTTAATGACTTAAGAAAAAGTGTCAGCTTTGGAAGCCAAACTCATAAACGGTGTATTCTTTGGCACATTGATTTTTTAGTCTGGGGACGGTTTCTTTCTTGGTGTTTCTGTCGATAAACTTTCTAGGATGTCCATTACTTTGGAGAGTTGTGCAATAGCCTCAGTTTCGATTCTCTTATCGGGCCAAGATGTTCGGCCCATGCTGAACATCACCAATCACTGGGGAATGCAGTTACATCTACAGATAGTCACCATCCACCAAACCACCTTAAGTTAATCCTAAGACACTGTCGAAGTACCCGAATCAAGTACCCACCGAAATTTGAACACAAAGGCCAAACACCCCAGTCCAGTAGGTCGTCAGGAAAATCAGAACTAAATTAAAGGACGAATAGCTGTTTTCATATTTTGCAGTTGTAACTATTCCACAGGAAGTCATACCTTATGTCAAAACGCTTATTTTTACAAATAACTTAGCATCCGAGCTTTCAGAGATCTGCCTTGGGTCCCTAGACATAAAGACTTAGAACCATATCATGTGACTCATGATAGAACAAAGTCACAGGGATGCATATGTATACATAAATATATACATTCCAACCCGTCTAATTTTACCTCTCCGTTTACCGTATGAAAGTTCCTACTGTTCACCGTGAAACATAGTAGAGCTGAAGAAATATAACTAACTAGGATCAATTCTATTCAAACATACACAGGGTGAGAATGTCAATGGAAACTAGAATATCCTTGAACAATGATCAACTTGTTGAAAGATGTCTAGTTAAGATAAGTGGATTTGTTAGGATTTGGACTAATTTCACCTGTTCGATTGCATCACGAGCCAAAATCAGCTAGAGAACATGGGAGCTCTGTTTCGCCTTAGTTTGAGACTCTTCGGAAATGCGCATTAACGACTACAACCTGAGACTGAAATCAGGACCTTTAGATTGTTACGAGTATTATTAAATCTGGAATTTTTCTCAGGTTTGAAGGTCACTGAAACCTAGCAGAACGCCATGGCTTTGTATTGAAATGATAGAGAAGATTTGTAGTTCAGATGGGTGATTTTGATTTGGTTATTTTCTCAGAGCAGGTCGATGATTGAATTGTGCCAAGAATCAGACAACAAAATTCCTTCCTGAGATACACACCTTCTTCAAGAGAAAGAACACACACAAGTACACAGAAAATCAACACAGACAGACAGACTGACAGATCAAATACTCACCTACATATAACAGCAACAAGCCAATGACTCACACAAAAGAAAGTGTGCACCAGCATTGATTGAAGGAGTTCAAACACACTGTTGCAACACTCCAGTGCTGAAGGGAATTGAGGAGAAATATTTGCCAACTGCTTTCAAGAATAAGGAATACGCCCACGATTTCATCAGAATAAGTGTTTGAACTCAAATCGAAATACCAAGAAGAAACCATGCTCATTCTTCTATACCCATATAACTAACGGCTTGAATATTAAGAACATTTGAAATAGATGTCGCACACAAGCCAACAAACCAACAGACAAACACACTCACTGGTGAAAGTGGACACATCCCATTTGACGCAGAATCCAATAGCATAAATTAGCTGTGAAAAGATACGATATGTATTCTTTCACAAAATCGATGCATATAAACAATCAAGAATGCTACTATGATTGTGAAAATGTGGTTATTTTGAAGAGAGGAAGCACAGAGTTCAAAAATGTCAGGGAATCTCTAGAAGCCTGGTTGGTATTCAGACGAATCATCCAGTGTTTAACACAGACACATTACTAAAGATGAAATTTACCAACTCATGAAAAAAATAGATCACATGAATAGAGAGTTAGAATTCCAAGTGAATAAAAATGATCGATAAAGATGTAAGACTACGACTGTTACCGGAGATCCAATCATTCATGGGAAATTCAAACAAGTTCATTCACTTCATATTAAACCTTCCCCCCGAAGATGTTGTGTCTAGATGGGGGACTATGAAAGCTTCTCAGTTAAATTGACCAGCTCAGAGAAAACAATCAAACAAAAATATTACGCATTTCTGCTGAATTGTTAAGTTCACTGTTGTCCATCATCTACTTTTCAAAGGTGAACAGTAGCATAAATTGATTCGTGTAGAAGACTAACAAGAATCCTATCCACACGCACACACACACACTCACACACACGAATGCAGATACACGCACACACCGATCATTCGGTGTGTGAGTCGAATTCAAGTCGGTCAATTAGATTTTATTCAAGGAAGCCCGTTAATTACAAGACTAGATAAAAATCATTATGCATCGGGAGGCAATAATGGACAAATATAAAAAAGGTAGCCTTTTATCATCAAACATAACGCAACGCAACGCAACAAAATAAATTACAAACGAAAATCTAACATGTGACATGAAAAATTTTTAAAAAATGATGCTGCAATTAATTGCATGCCTGAAAGAACAGTAGTCGATCCAGGCATACTGACTGACAGTTGTAAACACAAAAATCAAAGATAATTAGACAGTTCGGAAAGTAAAAATGACTGTCATAACTGTATCATTATGAGCCGTTGCCAATCCACTGACTGAACTATTTAGTTCTATGTTCTGCTTTGCTTGTGTGCATTTTTATATTTTCACTGGGGTAGGGGATGCTTATCATCGTTCAGGGTAAATCCGCATCTCCCTGCTGATCGATTATGCTGAAAGGAAACGCTCATTTGAAATATGTTGAAATATGTCAACTGCTAGTGTGAAGGCCACTGTGATATCTGAAAAGAACGAGTTAACGAGATGATCGAGGATGTGTAGTGCATCCCCAGTAACAGGGGGTAGTGTTCCCTACTAAAACAAGAAACCAACTACACACCCATCCCCTATTGTTTCCAACTAAAGAGCATTTCTTGTGAAACTGGTATCAGTTTCCCAGAGGTTCTGAATGGAACAAAGGGCGTCAAAAAACATCCATTTTGTCACCTTTTCTGCAGCTCTCTTCAACTAGCACTATGACAGCCAGTAGTCTCTCATCGCCTCTCACACTATCTCCTACATGTTACTCTTTGAATCACACACCCCGTCCAAATTGTCGGCCCCATTCGAGTTCCCCTAGAGTGATGGCCTGGCGTGGAATATCACTCATCGGTATCCACAAAGTACATCCGATCAATCTTCACTTTCTTCAGAATATGTTGTGCTTTGCCAGTAGGTGTCTGATGAGTTCGTTTCCAGAGTATCTCGCTGATAATTGTTCCAGACTGGTTATCTGACCCTCAGTATAGAGTCAGTGAAGGCATCAGTCGACGAAATTCTGCGAGCGGCTGTTGGAAGTGCTTTTAATGACACACGCGTCAAGTTTCCGGTGTATACAAAAGAAGTGACTTAAGATTTGCGTTGAAAATCCGAATCTTATTCTTCATGCTACGGAGTGAAGAAGATTTCTAGACTGATTTCACTGATTTCGCCCTTCTGATACTCTGGTTTTGGTATCCTCACCTGTGTTGACTGTGTGTCATTGAAACGAAGTCGCTTAGATAAGTGAGTAAGGGAAGTGACCTGTTTTCAGTTTCCTCGGTTTATCGGGGTTGGTGCCATTCGCTGCTGCTGTTTATTTATCTTCATCACCTCAGTGTTCTCTATGTTCCCTTGGGGTCTCATCTTTTCTGCTTCCTCTACCGATTTGTTGCTTTTCGCCTGTGTGTCTTCAAATTTATGTGTGATATCAAATACATCCACAAAATTCAGATCTTCTAGAGTTTTCTTATTGGTCTGACGTATTCCTGTCGTTTTGCTCCCCATGTATGGTGTGACGTATAAACCAGGCAACCACAATCAGGATTACCATCGTAGGTGATAGTAAGTCTTCACTAGAGAGTCGTCGCTGAGTTCTCTGTTTTGGATCAATTGACATGCGGCACTGTCGTGTAGCTGGCTGTTGAATGAGTTTGATAAAGATTCCACTTTTAGTAACCGTCAGTCGAAATCACATAATGTTTATTACCAACGAAACATGGCAGTGGTAACTAATGAAGAAAAATTCATCAAGTTTTGAACCGTTCACCTATCCCCCTACCAGGTGTCCACACAAATCCCAGCAAACTGATATTCTTCTTTCTTGTTATTCATTTCATAAATGTATAAAAATCATAAGCTTATTCACATTAAATTCACGTATACAACACTTTTAAAATTAGTATTATTAACAGCATGTTTAACGTTGAAACTCGCCTTTCTGTTCATTCAGCTCCACCAAGAGGATTCCCTAAAGTGCATCAAGATCCATCTGCTACAATCAGCCAAGTTGGTGATTCAACACATCTACAGTGTGATGTTTCAGCTGAACCACCGGCAACAGTCTACTGGATTAAAGATCAGTTCGAATTGATCGATACAAGTCTTCCAAGATTTCGAATTGTCAGTAAGTTCAATGCAACCAAATATAATACTGAAATAGTATTTTTCCTTTATTACATAAAGCTTAAAATTACTGTGGCTTAGCAACCTAATGTATTTGAAAATGATGAGTGCAGGGGTTCAAGTCCTAGTGAAAGTGTCATCCACAGTTGACGAGTCCTAATTAGGACGAAATGCATATCCTTGTTCTCTACTGATATCGTATATATGACATCTTATCTAATATATAGCCTGCATGATCCGAGACATATGAATGTGAATAAAGAATGGTTAACGCATTGTTCAGTTGACACGCGTAAAAAAAAGATGACAGGAAGATGTGAATACGTGAATCTGTCATATTCAAATGCAATGAGATAGGAAAAATAACTTTCTTGAAATATTATCAATAAATAAAGTAAATAGAGTGTTAGAATATGATAATGTAAAGTGAGATATGACTAAATAAAAATAGAGCAACTCACAAGAAGAGCAGATTGACAACGTCTATGAGACAACTCGCTGATTTTTACGGTTTCGTTCCCATAGACAGAAAAGGGAATTTAATCTCTTCTGTCTCTCAGCAAGTGTCCGGAGAATTTGTAGTGAAAACAGTGTTGACGATGAACTTAAGCAACTGAAATAAACTTTATATGAAAGAAGTACACAGAGCGATGAGGTATCTGAGAAAGTGCTGCATCTTAACTTTGAATTAAGCGGTGACACTGAGAGTGAATTCCTAAAAAATAGATTGACAAGATCACGAGGAAAAGAATTTTTCCGTCACTCTACAAGCGAGTTTATCGAGCAGTCCACTGGTGCGACTGAAGGTCAAGGAAATGTTACCTCGACTGCACAATTTCCTGTGTGTACTTACATGTTTTACCGCTCTAGTGTAGCTTAGTTAATAGGACGTTAGTCGAGAAACATATCCCAACGCGTTTGAAAAAACCTCGCAGATTGACTAAGCGAAGCAGAGAGTAAAGACATTTGGTAAATATGACCACGTAGCTTCCGATACCTCTTTTAACACAGTCTACAAAGTCCGGAAGTGGAATCTTTAACAATACATAACATAATGCCAAAATTTAGTGTGCATAAACAACTTTTACAGTCTGTTTCGTCAATGACGAAACGTCTTCATAACAGAGAAGATTTGTAGCTGAGGTATATGATATTATTGTGGTTGTGTTCTCTAAGCTCGGTCATTGCATAGTGAAGATTTCAGTGTCTTTCTAGACGGCGTCTACAGCTGCTCAAAGAATACAGTTACATCTCTAAATTATCTTCCTTTGACTATACGTCACTATCTTCTGTTATTTCGACTTCGGAGTCGAATCAATGGAATCCGTGAAATATGATGGAAATTTCCACAGATGATTCTATTTGCTGACCATTTCCTAATTTTCATAAGAACTTTCCAGTATTTTCTAATATGTTCCGCAATGCATCGAGATTGAAATATGAACTGTGAGCTGGACACAAACGCGCTGATGACGACCGCTTCTTGACTACACCAGAAACATTATGCGACAACTACCTGTTTCTCCCGAGTCCGCGCTGCGTTAAGTGAGAACACACAACGATGTGAGCCAGAAAGTATATTTCATGCAATAATGTATGATCCAGAATATCACCAAGGTTACGTCAATTAGTCTGTAATAATAATCAATAAAGTAGTGGGCGTCATTTTACGTAAGCCAGTTCTAAGTGTTTAATTTCCAAACTAGCTATTGATCACTTATGTGGGCCAACCACTACATCAGTCTTGCTTGTATATTCTATTGTTTAAATGCCTTTTTCGTCTTTGTGACATCATCAAAGTTTTCATTGTCAATATTTTTACCTTTGAGTTAACGTATTGTTATTTTCTAATTTCAAAATTTCAGGATCAGGATCGCTTGTAATTGAAACTCTGTTAGAAACTGATTCAGGCGCTTATGAGTGTATGGCACGTAATGAAGTCGGCACTGTACTGAGTAATTCAGGTCATCTGCATGTACGACGTAAGTCTTTGCGATTCGAAGAATCTGTAGTTTTTGTGCGTATCATTCAAGTCAGATAATTTTTTTCGTTAATTTAAATGGACGAAGCTAAAGTACAGGTTTAATCCAAATGAACCATTGTCATGACTGGTTGACACCTCCGAATCCCTATTGATTATCTCATCTACAGTCAGTCATCATTAGATAATTGAAGATGCCAAGTGATGCCTAATTCTTTCATGAATTCAGTCCGCCGCTCAGCACCATCCATCATCAACTTACGGTGAATATGCAGGAGTGTATCCTATTTTTAAAAGCCGTTTTAGTCAGTGTTATCAATGTGTCAAGCTGTTTACAATGGGAAGTCCCCCACTGCCTCCTTCAATTTCTCTAGCTGATGTTCCCAGCTCAGGGAGCTGCTCTTTCTCCTTTTATGTTTTCCAGCTTCTTACATGACTTACTTGCCCTACTCTCACAAAGCCAATTTTGTTAAGTATGCCGATGACCCATCTGACTGTTTCTATGCCGGCGGTTACTCCTCAGTCAGACTGTTTCAAAGTGTTTAACTTTTTATCAGATATTAGTCAGTAGTCCTCGTTAAATAGTCTTAAGCTTAATCCTAGTACAAGTGTGTGGTGGTCAATTTCACTTTCAGACGCAAACGTGACTTACGTGGACTGGTCAGTTAGCACGGTTCCACTATCATACACGCCAATGAAGTTGAAACCAAATCGAATGTTGTTAAATACCTTGGACTGTGCATTTCCTCTGATCACCTTTCCTCGTCTACTCACATCATGTTAATTGGTTTCCAGACAGATGTTTCGTTTGACGTTCTATGTAAGGAAGTTAAGACGATCTGGTATCATTCCGTCTCTACTATTATCGTTCGTTAATTCTTATACTCTGCCTATACTTCTTTGCTGTTCCCCAACATTAATCGTTCCTGGGTTACACTGTGAAGGGCACTAAAAGCCGTCAGTAGGGTGAGTGAGTGGGGTGTTGCTAAACGAACTCTTTAGTACTATCGTAGACAGACACATGGATTCCTGAAAGAAATCAGCAAATATTATCCTGTCAGACTGTGAGCATCTTCTCTCCTTCCGCCTATCTCATCAGATAGGGGAACTAGAAGTAGCACCTTTAGAAGACTGTATGCTCGGACGACTGAGTACAAAGTCTCTACAATACGTCATTCAGTCGAGACACATTTTATGTGATGAGAGTAGTGTAGGACAGGAAATTACCAACTTACTGATGAACTCTAAGTGAATGGCCCCAATTTTTGTTTTGCGCTCATTGTTATATTGTCGTTAGTATTTTCACTTGATTTAATCTTATATTCATTTTCTTATTAAACAATATTATGAATGTAAATGCCTTACTTTAATTATTCGACCCTTGTAATGATAAAATTAGATGCAGTACTTACTGTACTACTTTTTTTATTCCTTCACGTTCCCAGTGGAACATAGGGCTAGAGGCTTGAAGTGTCTGTAGTAGTGTTTATTTTTACAGGATGGGGTTGCTAGCCTCAAGCCAAATCTTTCCTCTTCACCAGCTTTTAGTTCTGGCTTAGCGAGCTAAAGGAGTGCACCGGCCGGGGATCGAACCCCAGACCATGTGCATGGTCGGCGAGCGTCCTAACCGCTATGCCATCGACGCTACTGTACTACTACATGCTGGAAATTCCACATATGTACCACATTTGTGCTGTTCGGAATAAAGCTATTATTATCATTACTATTTTTATTTAAAAATCTATTCAATGAAATATGAAACTTACTCATCCTAATAATAATAAATTCTAATCGACTTCCTCTCCATTAAGTTACTTACTGACTGCCAGCCAAATGAATACTATCTAGTCTTCTGTTGTTTTAATGATTACTTTCCAAAAAATAAAAGAAAAAAGAAAAATAATTTCGGTGAAATACAAATAAAAATTTCAACATGGGGGAAATGTTTGTGTGTGCGTGTGTGTGTGAGCGTGTGTCAAACAGCTGATACTTTTAGACTGCCAAAGCAAAGAGAAATTCTCGCAATATCAAAAAAGGCTTATTGACTCTCTTGGCAATCGGTAGTGTGTTCTAAAACACACTCTTGCTTTTCTTATTCTATATTCCATCGATTGTAATTTGATATTTATTCATCAGTATGTAGTGTTACCAGAGAGAGTGAGAGAGGCAGAAAACGAAAAGGAAATAGACGATTGCATCATTTGCAACCAGCTGTTGGTTGACAATGAGACCATAGTTTGGATAATATGGGTATGTTTGATATGTGTATGTAATGACTGAACGATATCTCCCATTGGGAGTTATCAGTCTTCAGAGTAATGCTATTTGTTGACACCAGTGCATAAAAACAATACACACTGTCAGTGTGGGTGTTTTTCACTTGTTGTTGATGATATTGGATTTCACATTATGTGAAACTAATAATGTGGTGGTCGGGAGGCGGGCGGCGAGGATTGAGGGTGACAGTGCACGCACCCACCTAAGAATTGTAATTTATCCTTGTGGCCAAATTGTTAGACAGAAAGAATCAATGTTTCATATTTCTAAGTGAACTAACAAACTTTCCAACAGTTGGAAGCCATCGTTGGTTCGGTGGTTCAAAGGTTCGATTCCCGGCCGACGCACTTCTAGACCTCACTCATCCGGTTGTAAACCTGTGAAGGATGGTAAATTGGTTATCATGCTTTTGGAACTCCATTACCTAAAAACACAAATACCACAGCTACTAAAAGTCAGGTGATCCACAACGGGAAACTCTGCAAAGCGACTCAAAGTGAATATAGGTATAAGACGGGGCTGACTACTAGCACCGATGTCATTCCCGGTTGTGGTTGAGTGGATAGTGTGGCACACTGTGAGTGCCACTGAACCGATAAGAAGACTCTAGAAGGTCTGGACTGTACGGACGATTTATGTCCAACGTTACACACATAAACTCAAAGATCTACAGGCGTTAAACATTCAACTGGCAAAAGAAGCAACAAAGACGGCACTTCGAGTGAACGTAGAGAATATGGAGGTGGTAGAGATAACTAACCAACCACCGCCAAAAGCAACAGTAACCAGCACGAATCACGATCAACGGGAGGAAGTGATTGAAAAAGGTCACTTCCTTCACTCACTTATCTGGGTGGGCACCATCGTTTGAACTAGAGGCATATGGTATTGATGAGGATGTCGGAACAAGATTATTAGAAGGGCAAGACATGGTTTCACCACTGTGAAATCAGTTTGGAAGTCTGCTGCACTCTACAACATGAAGAACGAAATTCGAATATTCACTACTGATTTTAAGATAGTCAGTTCCTCTGTATAGGTGTGTGTGTGAGTGTTGGGAGAAGCATTTGTAAAAGGCGAGTGCCGACTTCTTTGAACAGTTGCCTTCTCCAGTTCCTTATTGAATATGATCTAGCGAGCTATTCAGAAAGGAGTGTCAGTAAGAAACCCTGGCAATGAACGAACCAACCGAGAAGGTAATGCTGAAAAAAGTGGTGGAGAAAATGGAGATGAACCTGTTTGACAAGTCGAGAAGACGGTTGGGTGATGTTGTGTGCCAGATGATTTCTCGAATGGAAGGTGAATGGCGTTGATGTCATGTCTTCTTTTGCTGTTGGATGGGTCTTTTAGTGTACACAATATTGAATGAAGGGAGTCTGTTTGTTGGTTGGTTGGCTTGTGTACGACATCGATTTCAAATGTTCTTAATAATCAAGCCGTCAGTTATATGGGTATAGAAGAATGAGCATGGTTTCTTCTTGGTATTTCGATTTGAGTTCAAACACTTATTCTGATGAAATCGTGTGCGTATTCCTCATTCTTGAAGGTAGTCGGCAAATATTTCTCCTTAATTCTCTTCAACACTGGAGTGCTGCAACAGTGTGTTTGAACTCCTTCAGTCAATACTGATGCCCACTTTCTTTTGTGTGAGTGATTGGCTTGTTGCTGTTATATGTAGGTGAGTATTTGATCTGTCAGTTTGTCTGTGTGCGTGTGGTGATTTTCAGTATACTTGTGTTTCTAAATTTTGATGTGTATTCTTTCTATTGAAAAAGGTGTGTATCTCAGAAAGGAATTCTGTTGTCTGTTTCTTGGCATAATTCAATCAGCAACCAGCTGAGAGAAATTAACCAAATCAAAATCACCTATCTGGACGACTTTCTTCTGCATTATTTTGTATTTTAATTTCCCTTTACCTAATGCCACTTCATGATTGCTTCTACTCTGTCGCCAAAGTGTGCTATAACCAGTGTCTTGCTGGAATTGAAACCTCGAGAAATTGAAAAGTTCTGAGGTATATATAACTCATCCTGACCGATGGTCACATCACTGAGTAGTTTGTTCAATTCCTCATCATCGCAGATGGCTAACTGCAAGTGACGAAGGGTTGATACGGGTCTTCTTGATGCCATGGGCAGCACTGCTAGCCATTTGAAGCACTTCAGTGGCCAGGTACTCGATCACGGCTGCCAAGTAGACGCACTTCCAACGCCAACGCGTTCAGCGTGGCTACCCCTGCACAACAGACGATGCACATGGCCAGCTGTGAACTATGAACAACCACCAGTAGGTCCAGGTTAGCTTAAGCGGGAGAATATATATGTATATACGTGTATACATAAACTTATGGAAAGTTTCACAAATTTAACTCTCATGAAGGCTAGTCACAATGATGACAGAAAACTCTATTTCCGCTTTTTTTGTACACAGATAATCTTACAATTGCTTATCATTTTCTACAACAAAGAGGCAAGTTTCCTTCTAAGGATAACAGCATATGTACAGTTTAAATATATGTGTGCGGATGTTTGTATGTATGTATGCTTGCGTGTGCGTGTGTGTGTGCATTATATCTGCGCATTTGCTGCAATCATTTTCTATAATTATTAATAATATTAAAAACTGGATACAGGTTTGATCCCAAGCTGACATCAGTTGGAAAACCAGCATGGAATACTGGGGAGCTGTGACTGGGACTCGACTCTTCACTAGTATGAACTCTCTCCCCTGGGGTTGAAATCAGAAACTTCGGGTTACAAGGCAAGCTTGTAGATCATTCAGTGAGTAGGACTCGATCCAATAACCCATGAATTCCCAATGTGTAGCGTAAGCACCAGCCAAGGTCATGAGCGGCTAACCATCCTCTTCCCTGGCCCCATTGGTTACGACTATTCAGTAGAACTCCAGGGTTAATGTTTGTGTAGAGCTACTCGCATCATCTTTCACTTGTTGGTTTCCGTGGGTGTGACTGGTTAAAAAGTTTGATCACAGGGAGAAATTATTTAGAGAATCATTAGCTGCATATACTCATATCCTAAGTGGATAGCGAACGCAGCACCTCAAAGTCCCGAGACAAGTCTACTCAACATTCAATCATCGGTATGGAGTCCAATAATCTATGAATTCTAACTTCTGTCATTCCGCGGTACATAATGTAATTCCGTTCCTAGAGACTGAATAGTCAGCAGTGTCGCCTCGGAACCAGAAAGTCCTGAGTTTAACCCCTGGAGAAGGGGTCATGACTACGTGCTTTTGGAGAGTCTTAAACTAGAATTCCCTGGTTCTTAGTGGTTCCCTACTATTTAGTAGATTCATCCTTAGAACTCTTCAGTTGAATACTAGTCTGCATAAAGTGCGACATATACTATTTAAAATGGACTGAGATATATGTGAGTTTTCTCAGACACTTCATGTATTTATTCCCCTTTATGAAGATGAATAAATCAAGAACAACAGTGGAGGTTTCTGCAGAATAAGAACATGGTACCATCACTGTTTGTTTCGTTCGTTCGCTGACTTCTCATCAGCTGAGCTGTGCACTGCCTAAAGAAATTATTATTAAGTTTATGTACAGAGACAGTTTTAACATATTTGAAAATTCCACATAATGCCAGTTAGTAACAGAAGACTCCAAACTTAATGAACAGTGCTCATAAAATTACTCTTACATACATTCTTACACAGGGGCTTCAAGTTTAAGCAAAGTGAATGTATGCATATGATACTAAGGGAGTTACGTAATAAAGAAAAGAGATGCGTAAGATGATAGGTGAGTTAATAATAAATCGTGTGACAGTGTACTGAGTTCAACTGAAATCATAGAAACAAGAGACAAGCAAAATTACACTATATCAAAGACAGGAATAGGGGTGAGATTAGAGCCGAAGATTACGTAATCAAATGAAAGAGAGAAAGACGGTGAAGACATCTAGTCACCAGACAGCAGGTCAAGGAAACACTGATTACAACTGCTTCTTTCTGAACACATAAATAGGGTTTCAGGTAGAGGTTGCTTCAGTTGCTTCTAGTCCTATTTGGGACTAGAAGGTTGGACAAAATGCGCATCCTCATGGATTCCGCCGCTTGTCACCATCCACCAATTAAATACTAATTACATGCCCGGACATCGGCTAAGCATCTGTACAAAAAGCCGACATATCAATCGCAGACCGAGCACTTCGGTCCAATCATTCGATGGAGAAATCTAAAATTCAATTAAATAATTAATATAACGCGTTGCACAAGAAGTGGCCTAAGTGGTCTAGTGAATAAAGCTCTAACAGGTGTTCGAAACTATGGGCACTGGGTTCGAGCCTCGGTGGGAACATCGTCACTCACTGGAGAATGCAGGCACATCCAGATGACGAGCCCCAAAAAGGAGGAAGTCCGCATCCTGGTGGATTCAACTGTTAGTCACCATCCACTAATTATACTCCATACTGTCTCTAATAAGTTTAACGGAGAAGTTTTCAGGTCAAATACTTCAACTTTTAGAAAACTGAGAGTTGGCGGATTGTGTATATTCGAGCCAGTGATGCTAACTTGACTCCTAGAGGAGTCTAGCTCTAACTGCACTATGTTTTAAGACAACTCGAAGACTTCATCGATTATAGCACTTAGATTTGGCACGAGAATGTATGGAGTATACTGGCATTTCCAGCATACATAGTTCCTTAAGCACAATAGCCATATAACCGATCTAATTGTTTTGAAAATCCGCGGTTTTTGTAACATTGCTGAGAAAACTTCAAACAACCAGTCTCTGATAATGTTGAATTATCTAAAATGGAAACTGTCTATTTTCCGTAGCCTACAAAATCGTCAAGTCATTAAAACTCACTAACATATATATATATATATATATATAACCGCTCTTTCCATATCTTTCAGTAGCTTGAACAATTCATCTCCAGCATTCTCTCCATCATCTTCGCCATTAGGAAGTCTTGGAGATTTTTTAGTGTAATGAGGAACGCTAGTCATCTGATCAATGTAGTCAGCTTTATCTAATAATACGATCCCAGCCCCTTATCCAGCCTAGTTGTGAGAATGCTCCCGTTCGATCGGATTCTCTTCAAGGCTTCAATAAGAGCTTTGCTGTGAGGATACTTTTCTCATTACACCTTCTTGATTGATACTGGCAACAATTTTCAACAAGAGAGGCTTTTAGTTTTTCTAGCTGCAGTTGAGACGATGAAATTACATGATTTGTTTGACTAAAAGGATTTACAAACAGTGATTCAGTTTCTAATCTAATTGGACGGTTTCAAAAAATATCACAAAACTTTGGATCTAATGGTAACACCTCCAGTTCTTGCTGGCGTTTTAAAGTCCTTGCATTCGGCCTTATCTGTGTTCTCCGCAGAAATTTCCAACAGAATTCTGATTTAACTAAACTCTTTGCCTCAAATCAGACTGACTCGATTGAGAGTAAATGCTTTCAGCTTGAGAAATATTCATAACAACGTCAAACTGCACCTGATAGTTCGTGAAGTGATCTACGGTCTGTGTTTTGTGAACTACATCAAGGAAGTTACTTAGTGAACTCATTGAAAAACGCATTGCCCATCTAATGACAATGCTGAACAAACAATCACCACCTCAGTCAGCGAGAACTAGAGGTGCTGTCCTTAGAACCAAGGTTTAGTGGTGTCGAAAACCATCCAATTAGATTAGAAACTGAATCACAGTTTGTAAATCCTTTCAGTCAAACAAATGATCTAATTCTATCATCTCACCTGAAGCTAGAACAACTAAAAGCCTCTCTTGTCGAAAATTGTTGCCAGCGTCAATCAAGAAGGTGTACTGAGAAAAGTATCCTCACAGAAAAGCTCACATTGAAGCCTTAAAGAGAATCTGATCGAACGGGAGCATTCTCACAACTAGGCCAGATGACGGGGTGGGATCGTATTATTAGATAAAGCTGACTACATTGATCAGATGACTAGCGTTCCCCAGAATACTACAAAATCTCCAAGACTTCCTAATGGCTAAGACAATGCAGAGAAAGTTGGAGATGAATTGTTCAAGCTACTGAAATCTATGGCATCCAATCAGTATCATGTGTTTCCATAGCTCTCTAAAATGGTGATTACCTGCTTATAAATGATGAATTAAGGGCAATTTTCAACAATGTTTTTAATGCACTGCTACTGTTTTTTATTCGGTGTGACATTCTTTTTGCATGTGATTATGGCTCGGTGCACACGTAAATGCAGACACACACAAACACACACACCTACACACGCAAACACAAAAGCCGGAATGCTTATTTGCACGCATTTATTTATTGACTGGTTTTTTCGCCGGGTGACATGCATACAAATCTAAACATGCCAATATGATTCGTACTCTTTCAGGGAAATTCTCACGTATTCTGTAGATTACTTTGAAGTTCCTCTATGGCTGGGTCAGCTTGGTGTCCAGATGCTTCAATCAGGTGATCCAGGATACAGCTGTGGCGACGTGCGCGATATTTTCTCGCCTTTATAAAACCATATTGTGGTGATAGGTTTGGATAACAAACGTTGGGTACAGCCAATATACCTAGGTCCATAGGTGCAGCGGGTGAACTGGTAGATGCACACTGATGAGGCTGGTCAACAGTGTTAGCTTATCCTCCACGTTCATGCGAATCGTTCGTTTCGAAGAGAAAGTTAGTAAAAGTTCATCTGAGAAGCAGGTTTATTTTTTTAGTGAACGGGACTGGTGGTTTCTCAGTATTTCTGCTGATGAGTCTCCATTGAATTGTGCATTCAAGTAGAGATGCTTTTTGGATGCAGAAATTGTGGGTGGTACAAGTGGTTCAGGTTTCATGGATTTCGTGATAAAACGTTCTGGGTAGCCATTTTCGAGAAGGTTTCTCTTCAAAGTGTTTAGCTCCTCCTCCATAGTACCAAGGGGGGAAATTCTGTGAAATCTATAGCTCAGTGAACGGATCAGGTTTCTTTTTGGATATAGGGTCACTTAAATATGAAAGCTAGTGATTTGTGTGTTCCATATCGACTTTTATTGTCCCATCTTGTTCGCTTACGTCCACTCACTGAAAAATGGCTGCTTCTCAGATGAACTTTTACTAACTTTCTCTACAAAACCAACGATTCGCATAAACGTGGAGGATAGGCTAATACTTTTGACCAACCTCATCAGTGTGCATCTACCAATTCACTGGCTCCACCTGTGGACCTATGAACGTCGGCCGTACCTACCGTTTGTTATCCAAACGTATCATGGAATACTTACCCACAGTCATGGTTACACAAAAAGGAAAACAGATCGCTCATGTTCCCCCAGCTGTATCTTGGATCACCTGATCGAAGCATTTGGACACTTTGCTAACCTAGCCACAAAGGAACATAATAATAATTTACTCAGGGTGAGTCAAAAATCTTGCATTGCTTGCTTGCCTGCCTGCCTGCTGCCTGTTGACCGATTTATTGCTTCTTGACAATTTAACAAAGCGCACTGTCTTGTTTTCCATTGGGTTATTTTAGTTTTATCAGACAAGAATATTTTTTAATACGGAATGTTGCCCTCCTTTTGTTTACAGGTATTCAGTTTCCACCAACAATCAATGAAATGCCAGAGAAAGTTGAAGTATCCCCTGGGAAGGGAACAAATCTCACCTGTCGAGCTGGTGGCTTTCCGATACCAATGGTATGGTGGTCAACGCTAGGTACACCAGCTGGACCACGTCATTCAGGACCAATTATTCTTGCTGAACGTGCATTGACAGAACCTCAGCCACACGAGGCTACTTTACGTTTAACAGATATTACAGAGTCATCTGGATATAATTGTATTGCAAAAAATGGTCTGGGTTTAGTACGACGAAATGTTAGTGTTATTGTTAGACGTAAGTTGGTTAACTTTTATTCAATCTTTTGACCAGCTTCATTTCATGCATATCATGGTATCAAGTTTTAATTTACAGGGATTTGATTGGTTGCAGGATTTCACTGTGGACTAATATCAGCTAGAGAACCATTGAAAAACCAGCTAGGAGTACTCAACAGCTCTTTTTCCTAGTTTCGGACTCTTCATCAGCGCGCACCCACCGCCGAGGTTCGAACGCAGGACCTTTCGTTACGAGACTGGCTCCTAGACCATTAAGCCACTAAGACCCAACCCAATGGTCCATGAATTCTAATTTCTTCCGGCCTACGAGCTGCTCTCCTAACCGGAAGGTTTCGATTTCCAACCCTGGCCGGTGCATACTGATGACGAGCCCCAAACTAGAATGAAACAGCCATCCAGTACTCCCAGGTGGTATTCCAAAGGGTTCGTTAACTGACACCATAAAATGCTTTCAGTAATACAAGAACTAGACTTGTAGTCATGCGCCGCTGTTTCATTGGTGGAGTTCTTGTCAGCCACACCGGATTTCAGGTCGATGCACCCAATAAGCACTTTTAATTTACTAGCTGTGAGTAAACCAGGAAGGTTGTACGTGAGGCTAACGACACCACAGTGTTTTTCACGCATTCGATCAAAACTTTCCATACGGGCTAAGCTGTTCAAAGTGTGTCACTGATTTTTATGAAACAAGGGATGTACAAGTGGTTTTCGTCAAATAAACCGTAGGAGTCAAATTACCTCTACTGCACAGAGGTAGAAGCGTGTTTATTCCTCAAATCTAGATTTAGTTTACGTTGTAGACATGAAATAATATCACTGGACAACTTGTTTGACCTTGAATCAATTTCTAACTAATCAGAACAATCTATTCTCCTATAACCTAGCCGACTTTTAATATGGCTAAGAATATATCAGTTTTTAGAAGACAAAAGAAATTTTTAGGCAAATAAATATTGCTTGTAATAATTTCATCTTCCCGCCCTATAATTATATATATATATAGGACATTCTAGATTAGTCATCATTAACAATATTGGTGTTTTAAGTACTATCTATTTGTAAGGATCAGTGGAATAACAGACAGTTCAAGAAAGACGCTTGGGTTACAATAATAAGCATACAAATGTAATAGTAAATAGAATATCAAATAAAATTAAGGAAATCTCTACAACAACAAATTAAGGATCATTAAAACGCAAACAAAATACTAAGCCGCATCATGCTGGAGAGAATGAAACAAGTCCTGGATGAAAAACTTCGACCGGAGCAGGCTGGATTCAGGAGAAATAAGTCATGCATTGATCAGATCGCCACATTACGGATCATCATTGAACAAAGCTTGGAATGGCAGTCACCTCTCTATCTCAACTTCATCGACTTTGAAAAGGCCTTCGACAGCGTCGATCGAGAGTTGCTTTGGCAACTACTTCGCTACTACGGGGTTCCGCCGACAATTATACATCTCATCCAACGGTTGTATGACAACGCTGCATGCCAAGTAATCCACAACGGGAAACTTAAGGAATCCTTCGAAGTGAGGACAGGAGTAAGACAAGCTGGCTGCCTACTATCGCCAATGATTTTCCTGATTGCAGTAGATTGGATAATGCGACAGACAGCTGGCCAGGCAGCGAGGAAACAGGCATAAAATGGACTCACACAAAAAACTTGGAGGATCTGGACTTCGCCGATGATATTTGTCTGATTTCCCACAAACTCGAAGATATTCAAGCGAAAAGCAACAAGTTGGTAGAAGAAGCATCAAAGATAGGAGTTACTTCAGGTGAACATAGAGAAAACAGAGGTGGTGAAGATTCCTGGGCAACACCACCACCAACAACAGCCACAACAGACAACAATCAGCATAAATGGAAGGAACCCGAAAGAAACAACCTCTTTACCTACCCACCCACCTGGGAAGCACCGTTTCAACTACAGGTGGGTGGAACTGACGAGGATATCAAAGCAAGGATCGGAAAACCAAGACAAGCTTTCACTACTCTCAAGTCTGTGTGGAGATCAGCAGCACTACTCAGCACGAAAATGAAAATAAGATCCGGATTTTCAACTCCAATGTGAAGTCAGTCAGTGCTACTATACGGATCAGAGACTTGCACCGCGCGTCATAAAGAGCATCTCAAACAAACTACAGGCCTTCATTAACAGCTGTCTTCGCTCAATACCACTCAAGATCAGATGGCCGGCCAGAAAAGATCAGCAACAGGGATCTCTGGCAATGAGCGAACCAACACAGCAGGAACCGATTGTGCAACAAATAAGCAGGAAGAAATGAAGGTGAATTAGCTATACTCTGAGAAAACCATCAAGTGACATCACTAGACAAGCCATTGCTCGAGTGGAACCCGAAAGGGAAGCAGCGAGTTGGTCGTCAGTGCAAGGGGGACTTGGATGAGGTCATGTGAAGAGGAGATGAAAACGTGTGGGCAGACTTGGAGCCAGGTGAAGACTCTAGCAGAGAACCGAACGCAATGGAGACGCACGGCTGAAGCTCTATGTTCCTCTAGGAATTAAAGGAAACAATAGTAATAATAATAAAACCCTGATGTATATCTGCCAATCTGACTGCTTCTGTGGAGCCAGTTACACAGGCCGTACAATTAGTCGTGTTTTTCGCTGGACTTCCGAACACCATCCTGCAAAGACGTTAAGTAAGGCAGAAACAAACTCCATTCATAGCTCTTTATTGTCTCATCTCGTCCATACAGAACACAAAATTGATGTAAACAAGGCGGCTTTCAAAGTCATCCACCGTATACCAAATAAGCCTAATTTTACCTCAAGAGCTCGTCTACCACCACGTGTATATTGCTGAAGTTGTTTAGGATCTACATTAAGAAGCCTAACTCTATGTGCGTCGGTGGCACAGTGGTTAGGACTCTCGCCAACCATGCACATGGTCCAGGGTTCGATCCCCTGCCGACGCACACCCGATATCTATGGTGGGCCTGCAAAATTTGGGCTACCGATATCCATGCTAAAAATTCCATACCTGTACTGAAAATACGGTGTGGCATCAAGCTGTAATCAAAAAAAAAGAAGAAGACGTTGGTTGGTTAAGACACTTTTATCACCCTACTGGCCATCACTCAACGTCTTAATGATCCTTAGTTTACTGTTGTAGAGCTTTCTTTAATTTTATTTGATATTCTACTTACTATTACATTTCTATGCTTATTATTATAACTTATGCATCTTTGAATTATTAAGATGATCATTGCAGAGAAGAAAATTTTCTTTTCGACGAAGTCACCGTCAACTAGGTAGCTGTACATTCGTGTATTTATAACAAATGGTTGGGAAAGTTCTAGAATAATTTCCGGTTTAGGGTCAAATCAGTAAAATTACAATCAGGAATTAAAATGCCATAATAAACAGGGTGACGGATGAAATTGAAACTCATAATTACTGATAGGATTGACATTGGTTGTGCAATTAGGGCTTAGAAATGTAGAAATAACAACAATAGATAGACAGGATGTTTGGATAACAAAATATAGTGGGATCATGACTAATGTGACGAATAATTGTTTATGCAATCAGGGACTGAATATGTAGAAATAATAAAATAACATGAATAAACAGGAAGTTTGGATTAGAAAGGCAATGGGGATGGTCATTACTATGCATCTTTCTTGAACTGTAATTCCATTGTGATCTTAACAAATCGACATTATTATTTAAAAGACACCAATATTGTTAATGGCGATTAATCTAGAATGTTCTGTGTATACATATACATATATATAATTTATAGGGCCGGAAGTGGAGCGAATATTTCCTTTGCTCAAATTTTCTTTTGTCTTCTAAATATCTGAATCAATATTTTCGCCATATATAAATTTGCCTCTTTTTCCTTCATAAACGTTTTTTTTAACTTCTCGCGTTACAACATGGATTCTTAGAATGAACTAGCAAATAATACCAAATAGATCAGAACATTAGTGTTACTGTTAAGGAGGTTTCTTTTCGTCACAAAGGCGTACATAATACGCGTTGACAACAACAAAGTAAAATATGGTTTGAATTGAATTTATGCCGTTCGTTTTCGTATTCACCAGTCACGCACAAGGACCAGGTTCGATTTCCGGTTTAACGAATATAAGTATAAAACTTGGGCACTGTGGTAGAGTGTAAATCCATTATGGATAAGATTTTATTTTGATAAACTGTCACACAGTGCAGTGTTATACAGTAATATTTACTGATGCAACCACGTTTCAAGCACAAACTATTATTGCCACTCATAATCATATCACGTCACTCACTTACATACTTTTCCCTTCATTTATATACATGTGTGGAATCGATTAGGTATTTGAATAAAAATCAATATGAGATAATGTTAATTCAGAAATAATAATTTGACTATTATTGATCAATTACAATCAGAGGGGAAATGAGAAGAGTGTTTTTATAGTCATAATAAGCAACTTGTTAGAATGTTGTGATGTACGTGAATTGAAATAGAATTTTGAGATTATTTATTATCCTCTTCTGATTTGACTGACTGGTGGTAATAATATCTTCCATATTTGTGGTATTTGCAATGAGTCATTTCTGTTGCATGTGTTGTGTGTAGACTCGATAAACCAGCCAAGATTCAGTATTCAATCTCTCTCTCCACCTACGTAGATTACTTCTTGGAATCTTAACCCTCTCCCACCCTGTTGTGTGGTTTTGTGGACCCAGTTATGGTGGACCCAATTACACAAAATATAATTTACAAATTACCTTGCAATGACTGTGAGGTCGACTATATAGGTCAGACTAGTAGGTCAGGGGTAATCAGATTGTCAGAACATAAGAATTTAGCTAAGGTAAGAATGGTTGACCCCAAGAAAATGAGTAATTTAGAAAAGAGCACTCAGCACTACATTGGACTGCATGCATTAACACAAAATCACACAATAGGGTGGTAGGGACAGAGTCAAAATTCTAAGAAGTAATTTATATAGGTGGATAGAGAGGTTGATAACTGAATCCTGCCTGGCTCATTGAGTCTACACCCAACACATGCAACAGAAATGACTCAATGCGAATACCAGAAATATGGAAGATGTTATTACCACCAGTCAAATCAGAGCAGGATAATAAATGATCTTAAAATTTTAATTCAATTCTACTACATCACAGCATTCTAACAAGTTACCTATTTTGACTATAAAAACACTCCTCTTATTTCCTATCTGATTGTACTTGATTGATAACACTCATATTATTATTATTTCTGAATGTAAATTATCCTATATTACTGATATGTATTCAAATATCTAATCATCAATTCCACTCATGTATATAAATGAAGCAGAAAGGTTGTGTGAGTAGTGTCTTGATATGATTATGAGTGGCAATAGTTTGTGCTCGAAACGTCGTCATCAGTTAATATTACTGTATAACACTGCACTGTGTGACAGTTTATCAAAATAAAATCTTATCCATTATGGAGTTCCTGTTTAACTAATTACCAAAACTCGATTGGCGAATATAGTAGGCCAAGAGAAGAGGGAACGTTGGGAGTGAAGCTAACAACCTTATCACTACTGACCTGAAATCCTGTGTTTCATTCGAAATGCAAAATTACTTAGGTGAAACACCGATGTAAATAATCGAGTCCTTAAATGCCACTGTTGTTAAGAATCGCTAACTGGTCTTACCTCCACATAAATGAGTTTTAAAGGCTACAAACGTGGAGCTAATAACTTCAAAAGACCCTTTAATCGACCATCACCTGTAACTCGCGCACAAATACCAGCAACAGCACACAGAAAACTGCCCACGAGTGGACAACAATCCTCCAACGAAAGCAGAAATCCTGAAGGCGATCAAGCTACTGAAGGCACCAGGATCGCACGGAATTTCCCCCTTACCGAAGGACTGAAAACGAACCTAGAGATTGGGTTGATGTATTCACGACATTATTGCAAAAGGTTTGAAAGGAAAGTCGCCTATTGACTGCAATGAATGCTGGCCACCTTGTCAAGCTACCAAAGAAGGGTAAATAACGCCTCACTCTCCAAGAACTGGCATGGAATAATGCTTTTGCCCACCCACGCCAAGCAAAAGGCTAAGTCACGCCATCCTGGAGAGGGAAGGGGTAGGAGATGCATTGGATGTAGTACTCCGCCTTCTACGTCAAAACAAGCTGGCTGGATTCAGGAAAGGCAAATCATGTGCTGATTAAACTGCTACTCTACACATCACCATCAAACAAAGCATAGGATGGCAGTCGAACCTCCAACTCAACAACTTCATCGACTTCGAAAAGGTCTTCAACGGACATAGTTGACCGAGAAGTACTTTAGACACTACTTCAACACTACAAACTGCAGTGCACCAAATCTTTATCAACCTCATTTAACAGTTATATGATGGTGACACATGTCAGGTGATCCACAAAGAAAAACTCAGCGAAGCCTGCCTTTGCAGTAGTGAATACAGGAGTAAGACAATCTGTCTGGCTGCCTGCCTGTTATCATCAAGGATGATATCCTTAATTGTAGTGGACTGGATCATACGTCAAACTGTGCGTTGGCAGTGAGTGAGTGGGAAGACAGGAATATGCTGCACTGACTGATGAGAAAGAGGACAGTAGTAGTAGATCTGGATTTAGCACGTGGATGATTTATGCCGCTGAATATCACACAAGCATAAACTGAAAGACTCACAGACGATGGAAAACTGTCAACAAACTGGCTGAAGACACTGGTTGACGGGCTGGCCGTCAGGCAGCGAGGACAGGACTTAATGGTGGTGATGAACATAGAGAAGGTGCAGACGGAGCTGATGAAGATAAATAACCAACCAACCAACAACAACAAAATGCCTCACCAATTACCATGAAAGGGAGAAAGAGGTTGAGAGAGGTCACTTCCTGTCTTCACTTATCTAGCCTAGGCTGCAGCTAAGTTTCAACCACACACAATCGGAATGGATGAAGATGTCAAAACCAGTTGGGCTGGGATAGGTGAGATACGCCTTCATCAATCTGAAATCACTTCGAAAATCTCCTACTGTAACTCAGCCAGCATACAGAACAAGATTGGGATTTTCAATGCAAATGTCAATTAGTCAGTGCTTCCATGTGAAATAATAAAAAGACGGTTGCAGCGAAGGAAATTTCCTTTTCGACGATGTTATCAACTAGGCTGTACATTCGTGTATTTATAGTAAATGGGTGAGTTGGAAGCTTGGTCAGCGCATGAGTCACAGAAAGCATTTTCTACAGGCTACTACAGACTTTTATCAACAGCTGCCTACTACGTTGTCTGGCTCCATACAGAAGATCAAATGGCCAGCCGGTCTATCAGCCAGCAAGAATTAGCAAAACGAAACTGTCTCAATGAGCGAGGCATTGAAGATCCTGTTGCTCATCAAACGTGCGGAATAAAACGGAGATGGATTTAGCATACATTGAGGACGGAGGCTATCGAATGACGTCGCGCTCCAGACAGGCAAAAACTCGAATAGGAGGAAGTGAGTGATGAGTGAGTGACTTATATGTCGTACATTGAGAATTTATCGGAGGATTTAATCGAAAATGTGCCACATTATAGAAGGTATGTACATGGTATTGTAATCACCAGTGATAAGTCTTTTTCTGACACCCCTCAATTTTAAATCGAATGAATGAAGTTCAGAATAGCAAGCACATCACTTACATCTGTAGAAGAGGAAGATAATTGTTTATCTTTCCTAGACATATTGTTTAATCGACCGCTTGGTGGATCAATAAAATGATCTATTTATAGAAAACATACATGGACAGGACAGTATCTTAATTATCACAGTTTCTGCCCTGTTCGGTACATAAGAACCTTAGTTAGCTAGTTGCCTCTTCAGTAGAATCCAACGAATATGCACTGAAGACACACTTGATGAAGAAGAAAGAAAGTTGACACAAACTCTGGTTGATAACAGTTATCCAGACAAGTTCAATAGGAGATATAAAGTGGTCAGTGGAACACCAAAACCCACTCTACAACTCGCCCTTAAGAAAGACGTGTACATAAAGCTACCCTATATGGGTGGGGCATCAAAGTAGCTTGATAACTAGACAAAGACTGAACGCTGCTGTTAAAAAAACCTTTTATGCAGCTAATATCGTAATAATTGAGAATGTAAAGCCAATATATCCATCCATCTAAGCCCATTGAACATGCGAAAAATGATGTCACATCCCACTGTATTTAACAATTTGAATGTACGTGTGGACACATACATAGGGAAGACTCATCGATCTCTGCAAGTAAGGGCTGGCTTCGGAGCATATTTCTAAATGGCTTCAGAAACAAATGGAATCTTCAGAACCCATTAATGGTGAGAACAGGAGACCTAGCTCTTCTATTGCGAAACATATTACACAGGAGACAGGACATAAAATTGACGTTAACACATCTTTTAAACCTATCTATAAACGCGTGTTCGGGGGAGGGCGTATCCTGAAGTTTGTGGAAGCCCTAGCTGGCAGTTAGAAAGTTTAAACCACCTTTATGCGTTCAAAGCAACAATTCGTCATCACATTACACCTTCCTTGGTAAATTTTGTTTTGATACCGTAGCAGATCTAATATTACCGCTGCTATTTGGTTTAGTCATTCATCTTCATTGTTATTTTGACCTTGAATATGTCCTCCTTTTAACTTGACCTAAGTAGTCCATTTTCTCACCCACCTCTTGACTCTTTATTACTTCCATATATGTCTATTCCTATGACAAGTCCGTGTGTGATCAGATTGTTCTAAATGCGTTGTGCAAATATGCGCATTACACACACGGTTCAGACAAATTACGTCTTCTTATTGCTTTATCTAAATGCATAAAGGGAACTAATTGCTTTAAATAAAGATTCAGCCCATTTCATGCATGAGTTCAGATATCTGTGGGCTATGGTAGTAGTGAGATGACTTAGTGGTGTCACACCATATGTTCTACTGACAACCTCTAATACCCTTCTCAATATAGAAGCGTCATTTTTGAGTAGCCCAAGAAAGACTAAGGTTGGGGAGCGATAAACTACAATGGGTAAGCTTCAAGAGTTAACAAATTGTAAAAGTGGTGGTTGGCTGAAACCCACCTGATTGTCTAAACACTTTCTTAGAAATCGACAACAAGATATGGGATGACTAACCAAGGGGGTTTAGAGGACAGAGCTATTTCAAGTTATTTAATGTTTGACTTAGTTTCCACTGCCCTTTATGCTGCAAGCGTCATATGAACGGACCAGTTCGTGTAGATCACATTTATGCTTGAAGGTGAAGTTAACTGTTTGACTCAGACCACTAGGTAGCTGATGTCCAACAAAAAGCCAATCAACTGGCGAATAGTCTAATCGGACGTAACTGATAGCACCACTGGTCACATAATCCTAGTATTTAACAAGGCTGATTGCTACTTTTTTCCTTCTTATCTTTTCCAGAACTACCTGCTCCACCATCCAGTTTAGATGCTCGACCAATCGGTGGTACATATGCAGTACTCAGATGGCCACCGAGTATATCCACCGGTGTTGATTCCTATACAATCAGTTTACAAGTGAATGACGGTGATTTAGGCGAACTTGGTCGACGTCAAATAACCAACATTGATCCATCCGAAATGAAATCAGAAATCTCACCGAGTCTATTGGATATAACATACTCAAAAGAAACTCCAATGATCACCTACAATCTAACTGAATTAAGCCCATATACACTGTACACAGCACAAGTGCATGCAGTCAGTAGAGTCGCTGGTCTATCTTTGCCTAGTGATTCAGTGAAATTTAGAACTGCTGAATTAGGTGAGTTCAACTTTAATTATCATTGAAATTTTTTAATTGTCTGTGTAATCTGTAAACTGAATTTCATCTTCTAAAACGAATTTAATGCATCGGCAGTTGAATGACAGAATGACTGACTGACTGGTTTCAACGCAGAACTACTTTGCACAGATGTGCAGCAGTTCAACTTGCCATGCTCTTTCCATGTACCACAGAGCATCAAAACAGAGAGAGATAATAAACATAAGTGTGAGTGAGGCGAAAAGAATAGTAATATGGAAGAACAACAGTAGAGTTTTGTATTGGATATGATAAATCACAAAGAGTTAATGTCACTGGTGGAGCAGCAGTCGCCGAGAACGATTTTCAGCCATATCACCGATTTTCTCCAGCCTTCATTGGTTCCTACAATCCTGAGGACCCTAACCAGGCAGTCAAGCAATCTACACCTCTTTACGTGACTGGCTGGCTTAAACTAACTGTTGTATTATTACTATTTTTCCCTTGGGTTCCTAGTGGAACATAGGGCTTCAACTGCACATCTCCACTTGCTTCTGTCTTCTGCTCTACTTTTCACCTGCATCCATGTGAGTCCATACTGTTTCAACTGTTCTTCACACGATCTCCTCCATGTCACCCTCGGACGTCCCACTCGCAGCTTCCCTTTCGGGTTCCACACGAGCGTTGGCCTGACGCGCGATGTCACCCAACGGCCTCCTGAGCGAGTGTTCAACCCATCTCCACTTCCTCCTCCATATTTGTTGGGCGATTGGTTCTTGTTTTGTTTCTTCCCATAGTCGGTTTCTTGTTGGTGATTCTTTCCGGCCATCTGATCTTCAGTATAGAGCGAAGACAGTTGTTGTTGATAAAGGTCTGCAACAGGCTGTTGGAAATACTCATTGTTTGTGACCCGCCAAGTTTCTGATCCGTATAGAAGAACTGACTGACTTGACGTTTGTATTGAAAATCCGAATTTTGTTGTCGAGTGTTGCTGAGTGATGAAGATTTCCAGATTGGTTTTAGGTTGATGAATGTGTTTCTCGCCTTCCCGATTCTCGATTTGACATCCTCCTCCATTCCTCCTGTAGTTGAGACAATGCTCCCTAGATAAGTGAATGAAGTAACCCTTTTTCAAATTCCTCCCGTTGATGGATTTGAAAGAGGTTACTTCATTCACTTATCTAGGGAGCATTAATACATTAAAGCTAACTGTTATGGATTTCATTAACTGACGATGAAGCCATATTTTCATTTGACCACTCGTAGTTAACGCTTTTCCAATCTGATCTATCTTATGTCAGCTTACATCGCGCGTCGGTTGAGGAGGGGTATGTCTAGGCAGGCAGGCATGCGTAACACATGCATGTTCGATTCCCAGCTGACGAACTCTTCCACCTCGCCTAGTTTACTTGCCGGTGGTGAGTCCAGAAAAGAGTGAAGGTTGGATATAAGGCCAATAATCCCCCTGTTATCACTTCAACAAAACTTCAGAGTTTGAGGCCATATGTCCAATTTGAAATGCAGTGAATGAACAAAACGAAAGAGCTTATTAATTATGAGTGTATTTCACTGGTTGTTCATACACAATGTTGCATGCGGGTATACTTCGACACTGAGTGAACAAATGAAGGTTATTCAGCTCAGAAACTGAAATCAGTTATAGAACCACTGTAGGCAATTGTTCTGTCATAGTTTGACAGTCCTTAGCACAACGCACCCATGACCCCCTGTTGATGATGAAAGGCGTCGAACTCCGCTTCTTCAAGTTACAAAGCAAACCTAATGACTATTCGGCGATTGGGACGGAATCCACTGACCCTGTTAGTTCACGACATAGATATATATTTGTGAATAATCCCGATCTAGACATTACTGGGAATAAAACAGGATATTTGGTGAAGACGCCCTTTCGCGGCGAATTCATTTTCGTTTTCAGCTATAAAATCCGATTTATATACATTTTTTTTTCCTATGAAAGGGGATAGTAACAAAAGTGATCAGTTGTCGCAAACATAGTTCTTGGTCGATATCAGTCAATGCACAGAAGAGGTTGAATAAGTGTATTAAAGTTATGCAATAAGATATATAATTTAATGGCCGAATGAGTTGTAATCAGTCACATAAAGAGTCGAAAGAAAATATGGAACCAAGTAAGAGTTGTATATGATAGTTTAATCGAAAATGGTTATCCTGACAAAATTCTCAAGAAACACATGACAAAGAAAGCGGAAAAGGACTACTCACCGTCTTGAAACAAGAAGCCACTTTATATACGACTACAATTCATGGGCGATATACCAAGCAAGATAATTACGAAGAAATTAAGAAAATCAGTTCAAAGAACTTTTAATGCTGGCGAACTACTCGTATTATTCTCTACACGACCGATGGTGCTTCCTCGACTGAAAGATGAAGTACCTAGACTAGCCACTTCAAATTGTATCTATCAATTCAACTGCGCTTGTGGAGCGAGTTATATTGGCCGTTGCTCTAGGAACTTGATTTTTCGTGCTCGAGAACATTTCCCACTATGGCTAAGTAAAGGTGTAGTTAAAACTATTAACAGCTCGATATTAGACCATCTGGTGCAAACCAGTCACAAAGCCAGCGTAGAAGAATCCTTCTCTATAATATACTGGGTGCCTAACAAATTACCAAAATCGTCGAAGCACCGCATGCTCCAAACAGCAGAGGCTATTGCAATTCGCCTCAAACAACCAGTGTTCTGTGTTCAGAAGAAACAAGTCTAGCCCCTACCACTCTCCTGGCCCTCAGTAGAAACTATAAACTCATGAATTTGTACCATTATCTTCCATAATTCTTCTGACATTCAGTTTATTTTATGTTGATGCTGTTCAGCTGTAATCTATCAATATTATTGATTTGATGTTACTTAAACATTAATGTCGTTCATAAGACTAATTCATTCATTCACTATAATGTATATATAATTGTAGAACCTGATGATGAATTTATCGAAAAGAGTACTCTTTGTTCCGTATCCATTCTTTAAGTAAGAGTTCTAAAGAAACACAAGAGTTATGAGGAGTTAGGAAAACAACAGAGAAACAAAAATAAAATCAACACGGTTGTTACCATGATAGTGATTTTCTTTTGTATGCATAACTCTCATTTTTCAACTGAACGGCTAAGACTTCAGTAAAGAGCAAAGGAGACAAGAGTGAATTGCCTTTGGCCGGTTGTTCTTCACTTTGTAGATCACTTTGAAGCAGGAGGCGTTCGCTGAGATGGAATGTCCAGTGTTGTTGACCGGATATTCGATTATCTCCCGTCTTATGGAACCACTATTTCTTTTCTGCAAGCATGTGGAATAGTGTTCTTGAATACTTTTAGACAGAATACGCGTCGAATGACAAATAAATCCGACTGCACAGGAACAGGCGAACTGACATATGTACATAGAAGTAGTCGAATTTGAGATCTTGTCCTTAAGGCTTCTGCAGACTGATGCACGACTGAAAAACACAACTCTTAGAGTTGGTGCGAAGAGTGTTCTTCTCCCCATGGGTGATGAAATTCTTCTGCTGGGGATGTTGCTGGTTCATTCTCCCTTGAAATCCAGGTTCATGTAAAGTGTTCTTTTTGGGGAATTAGTGGTCTTTCGTTCCTCTGAGCCTTCGGTTCGATATTCTTCTTTGAATGAAGACCTTTTCGAGAAGATCCAGTTCTGTTTTTTAAGGCATCAGAACTACATGTGTTTCGGATCCGAGTGGCAAGGGATTTCACCAAATTTCATTTTCGCTCAAAAGGCACCCAGTCGTATAAACTTGTTAGCTGAGCATACCAAGTGGGTTTCCCATGGACTGACCTGTTTAACTTTCCGTCGGGTCTTTCTGTTAGTTCGAGTACCCTTATTGATGAAAAGGCCACTATACATAAGTGCGATTGAACAGTTAAAGAAAATGAATTCATGAAAAAGAACCTCTTCTCTGAACCTTGCGTTTTATTTCCACAAATATATATATATATACGTATCAGCGCAACCATCATCGGTAAGTCCATATTAATTTGTTTATTGGATATCACACACACACACATACAGAGTGAAACAGTATTGCTAATTATTGGATGACAAAGTTTCTAACTCAGTTTATTGTTCACACTTATATCAATTACAACCACACAACTTCGAAACTTTCATTTTATAGTTTACTTTATTCTCTCCTATTCATCGTCGTGGAGTTGGGACGGTAGTGGAAAAATGTTCAATCATTCCAATTACACATATTCCCTCTCAATTGATTCGATAAATAAAGCGTCAGTCAGTTATCATTCTCTTCCTCCCTCCACCTAGTTATATTAGATTTACAGAAAACGCACCCATTCAAACAGATATTTAGATTTCCGATCATCCCACCCTATGTCAATACAAAAACAGGATTGGTGAAATGTTTAAGTGACAATAGGGCACAAAAACTAAGTAGTACCGAGGAAAATCTAAGACAGGAAGTGAGGCATATAAGAGAACCTTTCAAACTTAATTAATAATTACCCTGATAAATTAATCATGAATTATGTTGCCAAATGTAAAAATAAAATTAATAATAATGATAGTGTAGTGATGATAATAATAGTAATGATGACATGCATGTCAAACATGCACCGGATAATGACAACACCAGCGATAGGGAATTTAAATCATCAGTAGTGGGTGCTTCCATAGAAATCTTGTGGCGGAGAATTCTTAACAATGCAGGCAGGAAAGAAAGTGGCTGGTAATCTAACCGTCCCACAAACTGAATTAGAAACAAGCTTTGTCGGTTAATTGATCCTGCCTACGAAGGCCATTAAACAAAACATTTCAGTTTATCTAACACCCTGCTGGAATGATTGTCAGGTCAGACTAGCAGAGCACAAAATCCTAGCAAAATAAAGATTATCTGACCCTAATAAGATAAGAACTGTGCAGAATAGTTCAGCTATGCCACTCACTAGATGCGATCACATACAGCGAAACAATAGGATGGTGGGATAAGGTAATAGTTTTAAATCCCAATGTA